CTCTCAATGATGGGGAATTCCTTATTTCAAGAGCTAGCCCATTCCATTTTCAAACGCTTCACATTGAACTTAAATTTGCCTCATTCTACCTTCCACCTTAGAGTCAAGTAAATGTAATCCCTCTTCCAGACAACCTTTCGCATATATATATATATATATGAATGTGTATGTATATGTATATATATATGCACAAATACACACATGTACATACGTATAGGCATATATGAACAAACAAAATAAGTATGCATATACAATACATGCATCTTTGTATGCAGACATATATGTATACACATACACACATATACATACATATATATACACCTATATTTTTACCTATATATTTGTATATTTTTGTTTGTTTATTCAACTGATTCTCACATATTTTGGGATCATTTGATCATTCTGATTGCCTTTCTCTAAACATGCTCTAGTTTATCAATATCTCTCCTAAAAGGTGGTATCCAGTACTAAACCCAGCACTCTATTACAGAGTATTTCATAGAAATGGATAGAGTGCCAGCTCTGGAGTCAGGAGGACCTAAATTCAAATCCAGCCTCACACACTTACTTGCTCTGTGACCTTGAGCAAGTCACTTAACTCTGCCTCAGTTTCTTCATCTTTAAAATGAGCTGGAGAAGGAAATGGCAAACCACTTCAGTTTCTCTGCCAAGAAAACCCCAAATAGGGTCATAGAGAGTCAGAAATTACTCAACAGCAACAAGAACAACAAATTTTCGTTAATCTGGAGGGAGGGGCAGACACATTATGCTGCTTACTTCTGTTAAGCTTGTAGACAACTAAAACCCCCAGATCTTTTTCACTTGACCTACTTTCTAGCCATTATCTTCATCCCATACCTCTACACAATTTTTTTTTTTAACCTAAGTGTAGGACTTCATATTTATTCCTATTACATTTTATGTTTTTTTTTGTTTGTTTTCAACCCTTCTTTCCAGCCTGTAATGATCTTTTTCAATTCCAGTTGTTTCAAACAGATATATTAGAAAAATCCTCCCATCTTTATATCATCTACAAATTTACTAAGGTTGCTATTTTCGCCTTCACAAGAGTTACTGATAAAGCTTTTGGAATAGAAGAGGACTCAGGACAGAGACCCGCCCCTCCCACCCACCCAGTTAATATCACTCCATTAATAAACACATTTTGAATAAGACATTAAACCATTGACATTTTGTTTTTGCCATTGTTAACAGCCCCTCTAACATTTTGGCTCCTCTATCATTTTGAGTAAGTATCTTGACTACCTGCCAGCTTCATTTTGAACAGGAAATCTTGTGTGTAGAAGATCTTATTCAAAGTCTTGCCTAAGACATATTTGTGAGCTATATATAGAATGACTTAATGCTAAAACTGTATTTGCATTTTTAAAAGCCAAATGGTCCCCTTTATATTTTGACAGTACTAGGCAGAGATATAATCAATCACTCAAATAATTCATCACTAGTCACAAAATTTCTAAAGTAGAGTGTCTAACTTGGTAATACTTCATGTCTAGAGGTCTTCATGGGAAGAATGGGTTATTGGAAAATAGCTGTGTGGAACATAAGGAAAAACTACTTGAGCAACAAAATGATTAACACTAGATTAGGCTATTGAGAAAATTTGTAATAATTGCAAAACTCAGATAATAGGATCATAGATAATGCATCTAGAACTTCTTGCTGACCTTTAGGGTCTCTTCCAGCTTTAAATCTATGATTCTCTGAAGAGAGTCACAATAGGTTTGCTGTGCAGGGCTTAATGGAAACCTTCATTTTACAGATGAGGAATTCTAGGCCCAGGAAGGTAGGTGACTTTTCCAAGGTCATTTAGGTAGTAAGTAGCAAAAGTTCAGTCTTCTGTCCACTGTACCACAACAGCAAACAAACCTCTCTAGAAAGATTTAATCAATCTCCTTTCTTCCTATGACAGATGATCCCTTGAATCTTGGAGTCCTGAACACTAGGTTCAGGGCCCAGGGATGCAAGTGGCCCTCAAGACTTCAAAGGGCTGTCCAAACCAGATTAAAATGTATTTGGAAATGAATAACAAAATAAATAAAAATACAATACAGTATAGATAATGCTAATTTGTGTTTTTTTTAAGTAAATATACCACATTGGGGGCCCATTTTTATTTGATTTTGACACAACTCAATACAAAGGAAATATAAAACATAGCACCTGCTCTCAATGAGTTGGCAGTCTTGTTGGGGATGGTATATGACTTACACATTGAGAAACCAAACAAATTAAGAGTCTATATAATAAACTACAAGTATTAAAATAATTGCAATGATAGTTCATAAAAAGAAGAGATGAGTGGGAACTGAAGATCCTGGAGAAAGCTTTTAGACTCTGAAGGACAGCCAACTTGTAGAGAGGTGAAGAGGCAGAAAAGAGATGAATAAAATAAAAAGCACCTATGTGGTGGAAGAAAAGATGATGCTTTTGGGGGGATGGGGGTAAAGGATGATAAGATTATCAGCCTGATTGGCATGAGGACTTATTACCTTGTGTGACATGAGGCAGACCAAGACAAGCCACTGTGCTTGGAATAAGGTGTTTCTAAAATTCTTTTCAGCTCCAAATTCTATGAACTTCCTACATACCAGAGAGAGAAATATGGGATAAATAATGTGAGATAAGAGCACAGAAGAACTGGAATGTTATAATGAAGAATTTGAGCTCCATCTAATAGGCAATAGAGAGCTATCATAGGCTTTTGAGTAAGGACCTATTATGATGAAAGTTATGTTTTAGGAAGATTTATCTGACAAAAACATATAGGATAGATTAGAATTGTAGAATTTAGAGGCAGAAATAAGTTACTATAGCAATATAGATGTTTATTGATGAGAGTCTATGCTAGAGAAATAATCATTGCAGTAGAGAGGAAGGGATAAATTAGAGAGATATTACTGAGGAAGAATTGATGAAATTTAGGGACTGATTGGGTATAAGGAATGAAGGAAATGGAGAAATCAGATGAGGAATGAGATGAACTAAATCTTTGGGGATTCAAATTAATTGTTATGTCTTCATTTAGGGGACCTGTTGATGACCAAGCTTTTTCTTATCTTGGCTTATCATAGGATTAGGTGTAATATTATTGCATTAATTATAGTAATTTTAAAAGCTTTAATTAAACATATGAAACTTCTTAGGGAAAGAATGAGATATAAGGAATATCCTTATCCTTTTGGTACTTGTTTGAAAATGGAGAAAAGGTTACCTCATCTATAAAATGAGGGAGTTGGACTAGATGGCCTTTGAGTTCTCTTCAGCTCTAAATCTATGCTCCTATTATCTGTCATTCTTATTTTAATTCAGCTATTACATATACACACATATGTACACAAATATATGTATATATATATATGCACATGTATGTATATGTGTGTATATGTATATTTCTAAAGACCATAAGAAAGATAACTTCCTAACCAGATTGCCATCTCTGCTGTCTCTGGGTTCATTGGTCATGAAAGAGTTAATGTATTCTCCTAAAGGACTTCTTTACAACCAAGTGGTAACTGAAGTATAGGGAAAATAGAATTAATTGATCTTGAAGATATTATAAGCCTTTGACATTTTATGAAACTACCACCTTTCTACTTACTCTATTCCTCTAAATTTCATCTTTACCTATCATGTAGGTAATAGTAAAGTGGTCTTTGGCACCTGTGATTCATTTTATAAAATGATAAGGAACAACTTTGCCAGTGGTAAAGATTATCCTGGTCTTGAGCAACTCAGATACAGCTAAGTATTTCCAAATATTTGTCTGTGTGTAATGACAGTAGCTGGTAAATTAAAGAGCTCACTGGCTTGCAATGCTGTTCTTGTGTGACCACTGTTTATATTACTGGAAACTGCCTGTGAGTTGTTAAGTGTGAGGATGAAGGGCCCACACACAATAGTTCCACAAGAGTCCTTTCCTTCCCCCTTTCAACCATCTTATGAAGAACCAAGTTTTCTGCTTGTTAATAATTTCATTCATTTAAATAGTCTCTTTACAAAAGTTAGCAATGCCCCTTTCCTTTTCCGTCAAAAAGAACAGTGTGCACAGAATAGCAGCTTTAATAAAAATCTAAAAAATAGACTACATACTAGCAAATTAGACATTTTGTGTGATACATCTTAAAAAATGCTATATGTAAGACTTTAGTAACTCTAGTAGCACAGTCCAGGAGAGCCACCCCCCTCCCAACTCTTCTACATCCCTGGCACTTCACATGAAGATTCCTACATATCACTTGCTGGTGGAGTGTTGGGGAAAACAAAATGAAAAAATAAATACTGTAGATAACATTGCTTATTTGCCCAATTCCTTTTTGGAGTTAACAGAGTTAAATGTTTACAGTTCCTTCTCACTTTCAAACTTTTCTTGTGCCTTCTGCTCCTTCCACAACATCCCCACACCGGAATGACCTGAAAACATCACTTCAGGATCAAGGGGGAAAAAAAAAGTTGTATATGTCTCTTTCCCTAGTCCCGAAGTAGAGATAGTTCTGAAAGCCGGATGCCAAGGGCATACAGTATTTCTCTTCATGAGCAATATGAGTATAGAGATTTGAATTTGGCATAGATTGCCTGCTGCCCACCTTCCTCCCCCAGCTTAGCACAACCCCTCCACCCCCAAACAAAAGTCACCCGCTAAACTCCAAACATAGAAACACTGTTATTTTCCATCTCAAAAGGGCTTTAATTTAAAATCCTATTTTCACCTACTGTTTACAGTTCCAAACAGTCCTCCCTTATCCTCTAACCCCAGAGTGAAAAATCAGAACAAATTCTTAGTCAAACCAAATACAAAACACTCCTTTTACACTTTAAACTGCCCATACGCTCCAAAACCTAAAGCGTTTTTATTGCTTTCCTGTCCCTCTTTTCTCCACAGCTCTATTTGTCCTGAAACTCAGCCTCACACCCTTATTCTTCACTTCTCCCTTAAGCAAAGTGGGGGACGATGCTTAAAGAAAGATGGGATTTCTCACCGGTAAGGAACCAGCATGCGACAGCGACACCTGAGCTGATGCAGCGCTGGCGGGCCATGACCAGCCTGGCACGGGCAGGAGAGGCAGGGCAGGCTCCCTAGTGCTCCGAGTCTCCTTTGGGACACGCTGCAGTCTGCCCTGAACAAACTGTGGCCAGAGCGCTCGCTGCCTTTGAGCTTCTCCGCCAGCTCTCCAAGCAGCGGAGGCAACAGCAGTGGCAGCAGCAGCAGCAGTGGCAGCAGCCGCCAAGGGGTGATTTCCTGTGTTTTCGGCAAATGCCTCTAAGTCCTCTCCACGCTTTTCACATCCAAGATGAATTGCCACATCGCCCCTCCCTTTTCTTTCTCGGTCTTTGAAATTGCAACTGGCTGATTCCCAGAGTCTGTGCTCATGTACAAATAAAGCAAGCTTCCAGTCCGTGTTTAGGCTAAAGTCCACTGAGAGAGAGGCAAACCTTAAAGGGACATCTGCATTCCATTGAATGGGCGATCACTCCTCCCGTGCCGCCTCCCCAGGGTCGTACGAACTCTAGTGAGAGCTAGAAGTTGAGGAAACTCTCACTGAAACTTTTGGGTGACGCGGATTCACTAGCTAGCTCCGCCTTCACACCCTTTCCTACTATTTAGGACAATTACAGTGAGACCCTCTTTGAAAGTACATTCTTTCGCAGTCTCACTCCTAGAGGTGATACTCATTTCCTCAGGTCAGATGCCCCCAAAGAGATCAGGCGCAGTCTTCGCGTAGGCAAAGTAAATAGCATTTTGCCACTTTCCCCCCGAATCATTTTCGTCACTGTCTCTATGTGGGGTAAATTGTAAAGCAAATACCCTCTTGTCTCCCCCAGATGGAGGCTTCCTGCCCTGACCACTGATTCCCCAAAGAGTGATTTTCTTTGTTTTTATGAGTTTGCTTACGTAGTGGTTATTAAAAGAGAAAAGGAGGTGGGTGAGTGCGCAAGATAGCTTTTCCTTAGGAAGGAAGACAAAGAGGGAAAGGGAGAAAGGAAAAGCAGAAGAGTAGGAAGAGTGAGTTCGAGGAAAGGAGAAAGGGTAAAGGAAGAGGAAGGCAACAGGGAAAGAAGAAAGGAAAACAAATTCCTCAGAAGAGGAATGTGTGTGGGCTTTTTTTTGTTTAAGATGCATTGCCCTGTTTGTATACTGGAACTGCATCTGTTCTAAATCTCAAGGTACTTAGCCTTTCTAAAGCAATATACTAAGGGCCTTTCTGTAAAACTTTTATAAATACGACGTGCTTTAAACACTCTTTAGGTGAGTTCTCACAGCCTCCCTTTGAGGAACTGAAGCCAGAGGAAATTCAACTGACACGTCCAAGACTATACAGCATGGACCGCATCAGTGGAAGATTGGGGAACAAGGATTTAGATTAAACTTGCTTTAGAAACTCCGGAACTCAAGACACCAAATTGCTTGGTGCTTATCCAGTGAATGATGCTTTGGGTACAGACCCAAAGTAGTTTTTCTTAAATCTCATTTTTCACAGCCATCGTGTCAAAGAAGTCTGGAGATTCCCGAAGAGAGGAAAGAAATTAAAAAAAAAAAAACAAAAAAAAGTTGCTGACATTTTTACGGCACTTTAGGGTTTGTAAAGTGCTTTACATTCTTTATTATATTTGATTCTCACAATAAACCTATAAGATAAGGACTGCAAAAATCATTCTTGTTTTGCAGATGAGGAAACTGAGGCTCAGACAGGTTTAGTGACTTACTTGTGGTCACACAGCTAAGAAGCATTTGAGTTTCCAACACTCTAGCCATGATATCATGCTGTCTCCTAGTCTACTGAGTTGGAGTTTTAAAGATTGGAAGCTAGGGTAAGTTTTGCATTGAATCATTCACATGATTAACTTTATTAAAGATTTTATGGATGATTTTCTGAGGGCAATGCAGAAGGATTTAATTTTCAAGCTTTGTGTCTACATCACTTTTATGATTTCTGTATAGTGGTCAAATGGACACTAGACCCTTTACTTGGTCTGTTTTCTTTCCCCATTGAGGGGAAATGAAATAAGCATAAATGAGGTTGGTTTGGAAGATAAAAGGCACAAGATATGTTGCTGCAGAATCAAATAAATGAACCTAAGGTAGTTCTGCATTACTGTTGGTCCAAAACATTTGTTGCCCCGAATGGGTGCTCAAAAGTGTTTTGATTACTTGGAGCTCTGGCTAGATGAGATAAACCAGATCTCCAGCTGGGGACTTGAGCCATGGATTAGACAGGTGTGTATGTATGTGTGTGTGTGTGTGTGTGTGTGTGTGTGTGTGTGTGTGTGTGTGTACCTGCAAGTACAACATTTGTGTAAGAAAGGTTATTTCCAGCTCAAGATTCACTTTTATGCAAGGGTGAACTGGAACTAACTCAAGCTGATTATTAAATTTTCAGTGTGAGTATTTGCACCTTGGAAATTGGCAACTACTATAAATCAAGGCTTAATTTATTGTTTTGTTGATTGTCTAGACTTTAAAAAAATGTTAATAATGCAGATGAAACTTGAAAGTATGCTATGAGTACATCTCCCCTCCCCCAAGCTGGTTGTTAAACATTTACCAGCACACCCTTGCCTTTATATGAATACTGGGAAAAGAATCACCTGGGAATCATGACTCTACAGTTAATAAAGGAAAATTGTTGACTTACAGATAGATGAACTGGGAAGATATCCTTCCTTCCTTCTTGTCTTCCTTTCTGTCTTTCTCCCTTTCTTTCTCTTTTCCTTCCTTCCTCTCTCTCTTTCTTCCTTCTTTTCTTTCTCTTTCTCCCTTTTTTCTCTTTCCCTCTCTTCCTTCCTGTTTTCCTTTCTTCCTCTCTTCCTTCCTTTCTTCCTTCCTCTTTCTCTTTCCTTTTTCTTTTTTCTCTCTCCCCCTTTCTCTCTTTCTCTTCCTTTTTTTCTTCCTTCCTTCTTTCCCTCCCTCCCTCCCTCCTCCTTTCTTTCTTCCTGTCTTTCTTGCTCTCTTTCTCCCTTTCTCTCTCTCTCTTTCTCTCTCCTTTTTTTCTTCCTTGCTTTTCTCTCCTAGGTTGGAAGAACAATGGCTCCAGAGCCTTTTCTTACAGCAAATACACATGGAAGTTTGACCTACTTATTTCCAGTTTGGGCTGGTTTGTCCCTCCTTGAGTCTGGCCCCTGCCTTCCCATCTAGTGGTTCATTATAATGGTGTCAGACTTAATGTGGACACCCAATTGGTTTTTTAGCCCTAATGAAGCTTAAAACTACTTTGAGAGTTCCATAGACTTAGTCTTTCCAGTAGTAGGTTTTATAGGCAAGGGTACACCACTACACCCAGGGGTTTTTTTCCTGTGGATCATACAGGATCATAGAATCACAGATTTAAAGCTGTATTATCTGATTTGATTTTTCTGTAAGGGAAATAATTTTTAAATATATATTTCATTTAGCTTGGGATGACAAATTTCAGATGTATGAAAACAACCTCTGTCCACAGCTTTTCAGATCCTTTTCTACCTTCTGGAATTTTAGGAGTAAATTCCAGCAAAAATCATATTACATGATATCACATTCCAATTCAGTCTAATAATCATTATTTTATGCTCTTCAGTCTCTGGCATTCAAGGCCCACTATAATCTTTCTAACTTTATCTTCCACTTTTCTCCTATTTAAATATATTGTTTCAGCCAAATTCATCAACAATAACATCGTAGCATCTCAGACTTAAAAGAGATCTTAGAGGTCATTTAATTTAACTTGCACTTGAATAGGAATCTCTTCTCTATTAATGACCACAGTGGTCATTTAGGCTCCCCCTGAAGATTTCCAGTTAAATGGAACTTACAACCTGATGAATCAGCCTTTTCCACTTTTGTAGTATGCTAACTATTAGAAAATTGCTACTTATATTGAGTTTAAGGCTACTTCTTTCCAGTTTCTACCCATTATTTCTACTTCTAGCAAAACTACACAAATCAAGTGATTAAGCATTTATTAAGCTTCTATTGTGTATCAGGCATGGTGCTAAGTGCTAAGGATATAAAGAAAGGCAAAAAAGAACCAACTAACAAGCAAAAACAGTTTCTGCTCACAAGGAGCTCACAGGTTAATGGGACAGACAGCATGCAAATAACATATAAGTAGCACACAAATAAAATATATGCAGGATAAATTGGAGATAATCAACAGAGGGAGGATACTAATATTAAGAGGGATCAGGTAAGGCTTTTTGCAAAAGATGGGATTTTAGTTGGGACCTGAAGGAAATCAGAGAAAGCAGGAGGTGAAGATGAAGAAGAGAATTCTAGGCTTGGTAAATGGTTGGTGAAAATGCATGGAGTCAGCAGATGAAGTATCTCATTCAAGAAACAGCAAGGAGGCCAGTGTCAATGGCTTGAAGAAAATGTGGATATGTGGAAGGTATAAGAAACTAGAAAGTTAGGAAGGGATCAGCTTATAAGGATTTTATATTTAATTCTGGATATAATAGGCAACCATTGAAGTTTATTGAAGGTGGGAGAGAAATAATATGGTCAAATTTATGCTTTAGGAAGATCAGTTTGACAGTTGAATGAAGGATGGACTGGAGTGGGCAGGGGCTTGAGGCAGGGGCACCATCCAGAAGAATACTGCAATAGTCCAGGTGTGAGGTGATGAGGGCCTCCATCAGGGTAGTTGCGAGAAGATGTTCTCTATTCTCCCAGAGGAGAGAAAGTGTCATATATGTACACAAGGGGTGTTAGAAAAGTTACAAGCAAGATTTGGCAACTGATGCCATCCTCCCTGGGTTACTGGGAGGATAGCGGTACCCTTAACAGTAATAAGGAAGTTAAGAACAGAGGAAAAAAATTTTGGGGAAAAGTTACTTCAATTTTGGATGTGTTGAGTTGAAGTTATCTCTGGACATCAAATTTGAGATATATAATAAGCAGTAGGAGACGTAAGACTGGAGGTCTGGAGAGATGTAAGGGGCTGGAAAAATAAATCTGAGAATCATTTGATGGAGATGATAATTGAATCCATGGCAGATGATGAGATCACTAAATGAAATATTATAGAGGGGGAGTCTAGGAGGGACAGGGAACACCCATGGTTTGTAGGCAAGACCTGGATGAAGATCTAGCAGTGGAGCCTGGGAAGGTTTCTGCAAGTCTAATCTTTCTTCCACTCTCCAGTTAGTCAAATACTTGAGGATAGCTATTGTATCCACCTCCACCCCTCCATTCATCTCTTTTCTAGGCTAAACATCTCTAATTCCTTTAAGTGGTTCTAGTATAATCCTTTTGTTAAAGACTATCTCATGACATGAAGGCCCAGGTACCCTTCAGAGTATTTTCTTGTTCACTTGACTCATATCTCCCAATCCAGGAAACCTTGGAAAACATTATACATGTATATGTACATGAATCTGCACATGTGCATGTATATACCTACACACATACATATGTGTGACACACATATGTACGCATGTGTATATTATAAACATACATGTATATACATACATATGTGTATATGATACGTGTGTGTATATTATACACATATATGTGTATATATATATTTTTTTTTTGTTCAGTTGTTTCGATTTGTCTGACTCTTCATGACCCCAAATGGGTTTTTCTTGGCAAAGATACTGGAGTAGTTTTGATATCTCCTTCTCCAGCTC